TTCTATGATATAAAAAAGAACTCAATTTTCCAGCATCTTGGTGGAATTCTGAAGCTCCTGGACTCTGCCGTGAAAGAGGACAGTGGTTCCCCTGACTGTGCTTTGCACCAGGTGCCGAACTGCTGAGCGTACCACTCCGTGTGAGCATCATGGGTGATGATGGGACAGGAGAACCCAGACCATGAATCCTTACAGCAACCAAACATGGGACAGTCACTAAGTCACAACATTGTACACGGCAGAAAAGCATCTACTTTTGGTCAGCCATCACAGCTCTTCTGAACTGAAATTCAAATACCGAAGACTGACACTGATACCAGGTAAGGGAATACCCAGCACATTTACATTCCTGCATCTGCCTTACTCTGAATAGGAGCAGCATTAAAATCCCTGACACCAGCAGCTCTATAAAGCTCCTGTTTCCATACGTGACACCCAGGGAAGAGCAGCTGCCAACCTGTGCTAAGCAGTGATTCACCAACCTACTTCTCTGGCACAGCAGAAGTAGGATGGAAGCTTGCTACTCCCAAGATATATTTAATGCCACTTCGTACAATGTCATGGCTATGGTCATCATCACACTTCAGGCATCTGCTGGCATGTGGATAAATGCTTTCATGGTTTCTGTGCTTTCCATTGCTTGGGTCAAAAAGAAAAGCGTTAACTCTAATGAGAAGATCTTGCTGTTTCTGGGAGGCTCCAGGTTTTGGTATTGTTGCTTCACATGGGTACGTTCCTTTTTTTCAATATTATATCCCTGGTGCTTTCATGTTCACCCCATACCCCAACTATTTGCAGCTATTCAAAGCTTTTTAAATTCTTCCAACTTGTGGATTTCTGCCTGTCTTTGTGGGTTTTATTGTATAAAAATTGCAAATTTCAGTCACATCATCTTCATCTATCTGAAAGCCAGAATTGACAGGATTGTGCCATGGCTGCTGCTGGGTTCAGTGATTTTATCCCTGTTCATGTGCATCCTTGTCTACGACATCACTGACAGAGCGCACTATAACAACCTCAATTTCACCACCTTAGGAAATTTCTGGAAACCGAGTATCAGAATGGATGAACATCTTTTCCCTCTTTTTTTCATAAGTGGCTTTGGATTTGCCCTTGCATTCACAGCAGTAATCTTTTCTGCCCTTCTCCTCCTCTTCTCTCTCTGGAGACACAAACACAAGATGCAGACAAACTCAATGAAGAACCTCAGCATGGATGCCCATATCAAAGCCATGAAATTTATTCTGTCCTTCTTCGTAATTTACAGCATTAATTTTATATGTGTGGTCTTGACACTGATTTATGCCACAAAGAAGGAAAATTCTATGACATTTCTTCTTTTAGTACTTCAGTATTCTTTTCCGGCTGTTCATTCCCTTACTCTGATCTTCAGCAATCCCAAACTGGAAAAGACACTGCTAAGGATTCTGCCCTGTCTGAAGTGCAAGGTTTGTGTGAGGTAGGAACTGTAATAAAAGCTAGAGCCTGTCAAAAATGTTGATATTTTATTACAAAAACCAAGTATTTTAATCTCTAATGCAACTATGCCGCCAGTGTAGATGATACGGATTTTCCATCTTCACCATCTAAGTTACGAAAACTTCATTAATATTCTTTGAATGAAATCTTATGAGATAGAGAAATTATTGTAATTTGATTTAGATAATTATTTGAGTTAAAATATTGTCAATAACAACATAATTTAGACCTGGTACATGGGCTAGTTGCAAAAGGGGAGTAACAATACTGCAAACCTAAAAATGCTTTGGTATTTGCTGATTGAAACTACTTGACTAAACA